CATACATTGGTAAAGAGGTCTTTAACTTGCCAGGATTGTTGTTTTTCTCTTGGTAAATTGAGACAGAGATATGCTGATGCCAGGGAGAGATTTTTGGCTTTCAGGAAAGTTAATAAGTAAAGCTTAATACACATAATTTGTACTCATAGGTATATTACTGTGTAGAAATTCTTTTTCTCAAGATGGTTGGAGTGACAAAATGTCTGGATGAGAAAAAAAAAAAAGATCAGCTTGTTACAGTTCTGCTAAACCAGAATATTTGGGCTAATAATTAAAGGAAAAAGTTATATTTTGTAATCAATTAACCATGGCTAAATAATAAGAAAGTATTCTGGTGTAAGTTTGAAAAAAAATCTTGCCCACTGTAATATGTTAATTGATGCCATGATGTTGCATTATGAAAAGTAATGTGTGAAATAGATTAAATGAAAGTGAAACTTGAAAGAGAGGTTCCTTGAAACTCCCCTGCACCTGAGTATTTTGACCACAATATTCACCCACTTATGCTGGTTAGAGTAACAACTGAGTTGGTTTTAAGTAGTAGAGAATCCACCTCTCAACTTTGCCCCAGCAAACTTGTTAATATTTTCTGCAATCATTTTATTATAACTCATTAGTTATAAAGACAATAAAAGTAGGGATTGGATTTCAGTCTACCTGTGTCAGTCTAATCCAATAGTCAATATGCCACAGGGAACAGAAGATGTCTCTTTGTACTACAAGAACAATAAAGGATGGGAGAAGGTGAAGTAAAAAGTCACAAACTCTAGCAAATGTATCATCCTGAAATGTTTACAAATGTTGATCTCTTTAATTCTCAAAAAAAAAGAGAATGAGAACTGTTGGGATTAAGAATTCCTTTCATTGGGAGAAGCTACCCCTCCCCACAAGAGAAATTATATTTTACACAGGATACAAGAAGAATCATAGAACCACAGAATCATAGAATGACTCATAGAATGACCTGGTATAGAAGAGACCTTAAAGATCATCTTATTCAACTCCCATGCCATAGGCAGGGACACCTTTCACTAGACGAAGTTGCTCAGAGCTCCATCCAACTTGGTCAATATAGGCAAATTATAAATTAATTTCCATTTATGGTGTGAGGCAATCACTGGAGCAACTGTGATGGAAAGAGTGGGTGCTTCATTGCCTCATGTTATCAGAGAGCATGAGGCTACTGCCTCTCTGTAAAGGTTGTGTCAGCCTAAGGCACAAGTTGAGGACATAGTAGAGGCAAGGTATAGGATGAAAATAAAAAGCTGTAGTATTCATAAAATCAGATTAGATATCATGATAACCCTTATGATCTTAAAATTGTAAAATATCAGTTTACTATTCCACCCATTCAGGCAGCATTCGCCCAGTGTCACACAGCAAGTCCCAGTAGCCCTAGAAATTAATCTCTGTCCACATAGTGCATTCAACACAGCTACAACTCAAAGAAAACATGTAGTTGATCAATAAAAAAAAGACTCAAGCATCCCAGGACCTGCTTAAACTTACCAAGCCATATGTTATCATTTTACTTCGTCATGTGAAACAGCCCCATTACTCATAAAAGTTATGCATGTCTGATAAAAATTTGTGGAAACTGCAATTGTCTTCCTGCTTCCTATTTTTAGTAATATTTTTAGGATAAGGAATGAACTATTATCCATATAATGATTTTGTTTATTTCTATAATTTATCTCTGCCTAGACCACTTCTTAGTCTTCATATTTCCCTACTGTAAACCAAACATTAGGCCACATACTGATGGTGTTGAAAATCTGACTTGGGGAAGCAAAGCCGGCTCCTTCTGGTCACCTAATGTTGTATTTAGCATATTATAGCACAGTTATGGCTCTGCACAGGGCCTCATCATCAAGAAGTTTATCATCTGTCCCAATGCAGCTCCAACTGAATGTTTAGTGAGTTACACATCCCCTCTTCATCTGACCCACAGAGAACATAGTTTTGCTGATGTTCTCAGACAAGAGGCCTTGTATTCATTCCCCAGAGGTTCAGACCTCAGCTGCAGAGGTCCCAGGTCTAATTACAATGCGGTGCTATTGATTTGATTAGTATTTCAAGAAGAGTAGAAACGAAAAAATGTTTTTCCCCAGAGTTTGTCACAGTCCTGTGCAAACCATTAGCATAACTCTCCTCTCTGGCTAATTTCTGGATTTTCAATTTCAATGAGAGAAAAAAAAAACACTTTTAAGCTACCCTTTAAGCTATTAAAGGTGTTAATATAATTTATACCTGTTGCATTTTTACTCTACTAGGCAATAGGAAAGAAATTGTAAGATTTTTTTTCCATGGTAGCATCAGGAAATTTTGGCTGTTCTTCTTTAACTAAATTGGCAAAAAAACCAAAAATCTAAGCAAGTATTGCATGTGTACAAAAAGAAAACCCTAAAGCAAGCAAATGTGGTCTCAGTCTTGGAAATTCAGGTAGTCAACAGAAAAAAATACATGAAACAGAATCAGCAGACTAATAACAATTTTTTTCTCTATCAGAATGCAGATTTTCTAATTTACTGCATTCGATATGCTTAAAAGACTTCATTATCACACAGTCAATTCCTGAAATGGTCAACAAATTTTATAATTGTGGTACTCAGAAAATGGATTGTGAAATCATAATTTTTAAATATTTTGGCAAAACCTTTCATCTGCAGTGTGTGAGAGGATGTTTGGATGTCCTTTTCTGTTTCAGAATATTTCTCACAGGGAAGTATGTTTGAGATTCACTTGATGCAATTTTATAGCCACCTGGAAGCTACTTTTATAAATTTGAGCTAATAATTTAGGCAACTTTCACAGTGAGTGGAGAGAGAGAAGGAGCTTCTGTTGGAGTGCACCCCTACTGTCCTATGCTCACTACTGCAGAGCAGGATAACTGTCTTAAGTATTTAGTATGGATTTTAACCCTCTCTGCTCTGCTGCCCCTCAATGCACACCCAAACCCCAGCAGTGAAAGGCATCAGGGTTAAGTAGCTGTATTGCTGTAAAATGTGCTGGTGTGGAGCAGATGCTGTGAATCTGATTTGGGCAAGCAGTGCCACACAAGAAAGGAGGAACAGTGAGCAGGCAGCTGCTCTCTTCCTCTACACAATGCAGTGGTGAAAATAAACATACACTTCAAACTAAAAATGTTGGGGGTTTTGTGGGGGTTTTGTAGGGGGTTTTTTGTTTGTTTTTTTGGGGGGGGTTGTTTGTTTGTTTGTTTGTTGTTTTGGTTTGGATTTTTTTTTTTTCAGTTAGATAGAAGATTTTTTTTTCAAGCTAGATCTTTTCTATATCTGTTTCTTCTTCCTCTGCAGCCCCTGTTACATTTACTGAGGTTTTGCTTCTGCCACTCAGCCATGCTATTTGTTTTTATCCTTTCACCAGTCGTCATGTTTTATATGCAAAGCATTTTCTTTGGATCGGCCAGTGCATTACTCCTTTCAAGCTGTTTAATAGAAAGTATCAGCCTCTTAGTACATTTAATTGTCTTAAACCTGTAAATGATACTGCTGTTACGAGAGAGTTTCTGAGATGCAGCCTATTTGCAGGGTCTCCTACCTGAAGGCTTGCTTATCTCATTTTTCTATTTTTTTCTACTGAAGAAAGACAATGTCTGAGGGTCACTATACTGAGTATCAGGGAGTCTTCCCAGGTACATGCATGAAAGGTAGCCCAAATAAAGCAAGGGGAAGCTTCTGCCTCATACTGATAAACACCGCAGTGCTGCTACTACGTCAGGTTCCACCCAAACCCCTATTGCCAGTGTCCAGGGGGACTGAGACCCACTGCCCAATATGATGTCAATACACATACAAATGAAATCAAAACTCCTTCTCCAAAGACTTTTCCTCATAGATTATATTACAGTGTTCAAGGACAGGTTAGATGGGGCTTTGAGCATCCTAGTCTAGTGGAAGGTGTTCCTGCCCATGGCAAGGGGTTTGGAACTATGTGACCTTCAAGGCCCCTTTCAACCCAAACCATTCTATAATTATATGAAATCAAACATAAGTCCAAGAGATGGCTATCAGGGAGAACAAATATTTCTGTATGTTATTTGTTACCTAATCTCGTAAGTTTAATAATTGCAGGCTCTTGTCAGGTTAAGTGCATCAAAGACTGGGAGAGCAGCAATGCTGTCGCAATAGGGTCATAGCTTTCCCAGAGCTGTGTGGTTCTGGGATTGCATAATGTTGATATCACCTCATCACATAATAACTCAGATTCCTCTCATGTTTCTGGGCAGCGCTCTTTGGTGGTGTTTGCTGTGGGCCTGGGGCACAAGCCAGTCCATTTACCTTGAGCAAATTATGACAGAGTTAGCTTTCTCAGACGGGAAGCACATTTTCAAAACCCAACCTTTATCAAACTATATTCAGAAACATTTCTTTCCTGTAGGGGGAAAAATGTATAGAATATTTTTCCTTTTATTTAGTTCTCTGTGAATTTGGGACAGTTTGTATTGGTTTGGGAGGTTTTTTGGTTTATAAATTTTAAGCAGAGCAATAGGACTTGAAAGTATACTTGGCTGGTAGGGCATGTCTGCACAGCATTTCCAATGCATGATCATGCATAATAAAAATGTTTGTTGGAAAAGAGCTTGCTTGTGTTCTGCCATGTATATAATCTGAGCAGCACAGACTTGCCAGCCACCTGTGTTACAAAGCCATCACTTACCCCAGCACAGTTGCCCATATTAAGTGTGCACCTCAGCTTCCAAAAACACAATATACTTCTTAGTATCTTACTACTTAACCACTGATAAGAACAATCATCTTTCTTAATTGTTATGACCAAGAACAACATATATATATATATACACATATATATATATATGGATGTCTGTAATCAAGGTAAAGACTCAGGATGTTTTCCTTCCAGCCACCTACAAAGACAATGACAGACGGAGAGTATAGTCTGGGAAGGATGTGCTGTGTGACCTTTCTCTGCTTTCCTGGGCAAGTGTATGTAGTGTTTCATACAATTAATGAATTTCTGAATTATTTTTAGAAAGTGGTTTATTTCCTTCTTTCTTGACTTCCAGAGTTTAAGTAGTATGTGAAACTGAATTAACAACATTTACTATCAACAATTTTATTATAGATCTTGATTTTACTGTTGACATTTTATATTACAAGAGAAGAGGTACAAAAGTGAGAATGAAGACAAACTCTTGACTGATAGTCAGAAGTAACCTATTTGGAAGCACTGGTATGTGTCTGCGTTGATCCCTCTAAGTAGTTACATAACAGAGTGCAAATAAAAATACATTTCATTTAATGTAATATTATGGGTGAGGTCTTGGGTGTGTCCAGCCATACTCAGTGCAGGCCCTCTATTGCTCTAGCAGAGAAGAGGTTTATGTAGAGATGTTAGAAATTACACCAGCTTGTGTAGCTCCATAAACATCCTTTGCACTCTGGGTAGTCACTAAAACATATGGTGTTATAACCTTCTGCCTGTGGGATCATGGAAACCTCAGTCTGCCTAACACATTGGTAGCTGCTGGTGACTTTGGCACCTCAGCACTAGCAGCATCTCTGTAGCAAAGCCTGCTCTGTTCTCTGAGTGTCACTGGCACTGCACAAAGGCACTACAAACCGCGGCCACAAATAGGCCTCAGATATTTGTTATAAACACTGCATTTGACTATGTATATGAGACCAGTAAAATAGAAATCAAAGGAAATCAATGAAACCTGCTGTTTCAGTGTACTACAGTGAGTCTGTGCTTGTGAATTATACACCACAAGGCATCACCTTTCACCTCAGAAACTGAGGTCAAGAGAGACTCCTTATTGTGGCAACTGTTTGATGTTTGTTTCTATTCCAGTGGATGCCCAAGTTGTGGTCTGAGGGACCTTTTATGAAAGTTGGAAGGCTTGCACTTACTGCTATATTAAGAACAAAATGTAATCTGAACTGCAATGGTGTTTCCAGTAGGATTTAATGGGGCTCTCTGAGTCAGTCTCACTATTTTCTCTCCCAGTTACACACTCAGCAGTTCTTACAGATGCTGGCAACCCTTTGAGTGGTTTCTGGTCTTTTCTTGGCTCAGCTCAGCCCAGCGATCTCCCCACCAGCTGCTTACTGTGATACCCACTAAAAGGTAAAAACCACTCTGCCTCTTCCATTGCTTGCTTTACCTGCTCAGAGGTGTCACAGTCCCTGGGGAGAAACATGATTAATACCCTGTGCCATTGGGCAATGTTCCCCTTTGGGGAATGTTCCACCAGGGCATGCATAGCATGCCCTGATCATTTCCCACCCAGCCTTCCAGCAGGGAGGAAGCTGAGTGCGATCTGGGCAAATTCTGCCTCTGCTGGAAAGCCTCTGTCTTCTCTATGGATGCCCTAGAGAATTCCTGTTCTCTGCCTCTGGAGAGTTGTACAGGAGGGAGAGAACTAGGGCAAAGCTAGGTATGTTCAGCTAAGTTGCTGAACATGGCCCTGGCCCTTCTGAAATAGTACATTTGAATGCGTGTGTGTACAGTATCACACCTTAAGTATCATCTCCTGCTATAACTGCCTGTTAGTATCACAGCAAGGATTTCTGGTTATGGACTGGGTACACACCACGCTACTATTTATCACTCTAAGCTATGTAGCCACATCTTTTCCAGCTTTACACACAAATGATGAAAATCTTCAGTATCGTGGAGGCCACCCTTTCATGGAACTGCTGTGCTGTTGGTGCAAAGTCTGCAGTCTGTGTGGTCAGGGTTATGCACACACTGAAGGAGCTGAACTGGCCTGAGATAAAACACAAAAACAAACAAATATTTAGTAATCACTTTGCAAGTACAACAGAATAACTTCACAGTTAAATGCAATATGAAAGTCAAAGTGCAGGTTACACCTGTGTTTATCAAGCAGCTATCTTTCTTAGGGTAATTCTCTTTGATCTTGCTGCAGAAATGTAACTTTGGTGTTTATAGGGACAGGAGCAAGTTGGTACAAAACAAAGTAGGATCTGACCTCACAGCATGTCAGCTATGCTGCAATATCAAAAATAATTATGAAAAAGAAGTAAGATCTGCAGAGCTGCTGCCATGCTGGAACTTCACCACCTCACTTACTCACTGGTAACCCCTACTGCTACAACATAAAGCTCTCGCTATCAATGTCAGATATGATTAGATTTTTTGCTAATACATCCAGTAAATCTATTTTTGGGGGTTACTTCTGGAAGACACTGTAGACATGGACAAAGGCAAGAGAAAATGATCAGCATCAGCTGCTACGTGGCATGGAAAGCCAGATGCTGATACAGACCCACACAGTTCTGTTTGCCATGATTCCAGGGGAGTGAAGATAACTTACATGGTCTATCCTGAAGTTTTGCTGTACCTGTAAATTTCTTATTTTATTATTGCCATGAATATAAAATAGTAAAATTAATTATCTATGTTGCTCTTACACAGTTGTTTATATATGTGTTACTTGAGCTCTGACAAAAAGCCCTACTTGTTAGCTTACCTTAAAAAGTGAGTTGTGAGGCACAGAAATGGGTGTGTCAGGCTTCAACTTGTGCTAAGCCATGAGGGATATAAGCTACTATATATTTCCTCTTCCTCCCTGGCCCCTTAGCTTATTTCATAATAGGCTAAAATAATCTGTACCAACTTAAAGTTCCTGGGAGTATTTCTTAAAGCCTACATTTACCCAAAGAGAAAATGAGCACATGATTTGGCAGATTTATGCACCACACCAGTGATAATTTTTTCACTATGTGCAAAGCACCCACTAATCAGGTTCAGCAACACTCAGAGTTGAGGTTTTGCTGGCACTTTTCCTCCTGTCAGCAGAAATTTTAAACTCGATTTCTTCGTGGTCACTGTGGCCAAGGTGGCCACCCATCTCCACTTCGCTCATGAGATCCACTCTGTTGACAAGCAGCAGATCAAAGAAGACATCTTTCCAAGTCGGTTACCTTAGGACTTGTTATAACAAGGTAACTCACCTAGTTGATCAAAGGAAGCCAGCTGATGGAATCTTTTTGGATTTCAGTAAAGCTTTTGATACCGTCTCTCACAGGATCGTTCTGGACGAAGTGTCCAGCACACAGCTGGATAAACACACCATGTGGTGGGTGAGCAATTGGCTCATAGGTTGAGCACAGAGAGTAATAGTGAACAGGGTAACATCACACTGGCCACCTGTCACTAGTGGGGTTCCACAGGGCTCCATCCTGGGCCCTGTGCTCTTCAATATCTTCATGAATAACTTGGACGCAGGAATGGAAGGGATACTAAGCAAGTTTGCACATGACATAAAACTGGGAGGAGCTGTTGACTCCCTTGAAGGCAGGGAGGCCCTGCAGAGGGACCTCAATAAATTAGAGGACTGGGCAATCACAAACCATAGGAAGTTCAACAAGGGCAAGTGCCAGATACTGCACCTGGGATGGGGCAACCCTGAATGTATGTACAGACTGAGGAATGAGATGCTGGGAAGCAGTGCTGCAGAAAGGGACCTGGGGGTCCTGGTCAAGGCAAGTTGAATATGAGTCAGCAGTGCCCTGGCAGCCAGGAGGGCCAATCGTGTCCTGGGGGGCATCAGGCAAAGCATCGCCAGCAGGTCAAGGGAGGGGATTGTCCTGCTCTGCTCAGCACTGGTGCAGCCTCACCTTGAATATTGTGTGCAGTTTTGGGTACCACAATATAAGAAAGGTATTAAGCTCTTGGAGAGTGTCCAAAGGAGGGCAACAAAGATGGTGAGGGGCCTTGAGGGGAAACTGTATGAGGAGGGGCTGAGGTCGCTTGGTCTGTTCAGCCTGGAGGAGACTGAGGGGAGACCTCATTGCAGTTACAACTTCCTTGTGAGGGGAAGAGGAGGGCCAGGCACTGATCTCTTCTCTGTGATGGCCAGTGACAGGACCTGAGGGAATGACCTGAAGCTGTGTCAGGAGAGGTTTAGGTTGGATATTAGAAAAGTGTTCTTTACCCAGAGGGTGGTTGGGCATTGGAACAGGATCCCCAGGGAAGTGGTCACAGCCCCAAGCCTGAAGAGTTCAAGAAGTGTTTGGACAATACTCTCAGGCACATGGTGTGACTCTTCGGGATGGTCTTGTGCGGGGCCAGGAGTTGGACTCAATATCCTTGTAGGTCACTTCCAACTCAGCATATTCTGTCATTCTGTCATTCTGTAATGCCCAAACGGGAATATATTGCTCTGCTCTCAAAATTAAAGTCCTATCATTTGTCTCCTTTGCAGACCAATTTTTCCTTCCTTAAAACTTTTGCCACAAACTCAGTCATTTATAGAAATGTGTGTTTACTTTGGAAATGTTCTTATCCAAATATGAGTCCTTGACACTGAAAAGCTGTTCCTGACAGATAAGACATAAGTACTATTGAACCTTTTCTGCTTTTCTAAAGAACAATTTCAATCTCTGTGAAGGTCTCTGAACCGACACAGAGGGATAAAGGCTCTCAGACTTTTGTATTTCCTCAGCAGGCAGATGAAGATTTCAGGCAAGTCGGGACTTGGGCTGCTGTTTCCCAGACTCCTGTTTTTTTTCTCCTGACAATATTATAGTAATTACTAATGCTTATCATGTCTCATGCCTCATCCTCTGACAAAGCAAATGGACAGAAACAAGCTCAAACCAAAGAGAAGGAAGTAAGGACCATCCTTGGCACCCTGCACTAGCTGTATGCAGCAGGGAGGAAAGCTACCCATTTGGTTTGGATTATTTTAGGTAGAAGCCTGGTCAGACGAAAATCTGGAGGCTGGATTGGTCCTTTCCTGAAAGCAACATGCTCATTGGGAAGTGCAGGACAGAGAGCAAGACCCAGACCCAGCCAACACCAGGGCTGAGCCCAGCTGAAAGCCCCTGAGAAGGACACAGCTACATTGGAGGGATGTCATGACAGTAAGGGGAAAGTCCGCTTTCATTTCTTGTAAACCTATATTAAGTCAAGAGGTAGATGCAATATTAATTTTATATCAGAAAGTTGTCACAGATAAGAGCGGGTAATTACCTGTAATTATCTTCACAGATGATCTTAAAGTTTCGCTCTTCCAAGATGTTTTTCAACCTCTGAATGGAATGACCTGAGCAGGATTCACTGCAAAGAGAAGACTTTCATTACTTGTGTTCCTTGTGTGTACAAAAAGCTCAGCTAAATTCCACACTATGTCACTGCTTTATTACAGGTAAGGTTCTTTAAAGGCTTCTTTGCTAATGTGCTGTAAAGTCCATTGGGTTCATGGAGCTTTGGCTACCATTGGGCCTTTGCTAGTAGGAACTGTGTGATGTTCAGCTGTGAATCTTGCATGAGAACTTTGGGCAGGAAGACATCTGTGGGAAATAACTCAGTTCCATTCACAGTTCAGTGTGTTTTACAACTGTTCCAGAGCTACAGATGGCTTCCATCCACAGGAGCACAATATAAGGCTCATTCAAATCCGTGGAAGGACAAAAGGATCAAGTCCTCTGTGTTATATGGCCAATCACAAAAATCAGCAGCTAAGTCCCAGGTAGGAAGTAAGATAGATGGAAACAGATAGAAAACATGGGAGGAAGCAGGCTATGAGCACTGTCTGTCTGACTCAGTCTGTGGCTGCTGCTGCTCTGTTTTGACAAGAGGCTGTTTCAACCACTTTTGCACTGGTAGGAGCCCTAACTTGTCTATTTCTTTACCATCCCAATGGTTACATGGAGCATATGGTCTTGTCATACCTTTGAGATCTTTATCTCTACGCTCAATTTGTGTGAAATAGCCTAAGGGGCCCTAAAGCTGTACTGAGATGATTGACAAATGTCATAGGCACAGACAGAGACACTGCAAAAGAATTGTTACCTCAGGGTAAAAATCATCTCCTTATCCAGAGTATAGGACGCGCTTCAGGGCAACAATACAATACTGGTGTAAATCCTGTTCCTAATATGTGACGTTAGTGGAAAGCACAGTCAGCTCTTTTTTGGTCACTAGATTTGCCAGGTTATCAGTGATTCAACTTGGAATACAAATCAGAAGACAAAAGGTATACATATTATTGGAGCTACCCTCCATCTTTCTCCTTGGAAGTAAGTCAAAAATAAAAAGGAAACTGCTGTGAATTTGGTGCAGGAGGAGGATGTGTCAAGTAAGAGGGCTGGCAGGGCACTGTCTTGTTGAAGCTGCTGAGGAGGAACCTGATGGCTTTTCTGATGCCGGGAAATCATGGGACAAAAGATCCAGTGCTACATCTGGGAAAACTGATGTAAAGATTACTCAATGTGCTTTTCTTCAGCAAAGCTCTATGCAATGGACCACATGAGTAAGCCTGGTGTGCTGACCACAGCACAAATGCACACCTGTGAGCTGTGGCAGATATGTCAGCTTGTGTGGCAAAGAAACACTTCTGGGTGTTTGGACTAGGGGAGGGGCTGCAACACTGGAGCTGGTACTGTGTCAGACAGTGAGGCTGTCTGAGCAAGGGTCTCTGCTGGGTCCACACTCCTTCCCAAGTTGCACTGCATCATCACAGCCTGCTTCCTGACCCACAGCACCAAAGCTGCTGTTTCTGTCATGGAGATCCTTAAGAATGGGAGAAACTGTGTCAGTGCATTATAACCATGAGAGCCAGAGAACTGTCTCTGAAGTTGGAGTTGAAGGCACTGAACCTTATGCTTAGTGCTTGAAATGTGGTAGGTCTGCAAATGAATCTGATTGGGATGAAAAAGATCACTGAGAAAGGCTCAGATGTGATTTGAAGTCACTGTTCTGCTATGAATAATTCTATGGGAAGTATTTAAGCTATAAATTTGTGATTATAAATCACAAAATTATTTAGGTTGGGAGGGACTGCTTGAGATCATCGCATTAGTTAAACTAATATCAGCTAGAGCGGTTGCTCAGGACCCAGTTATGTTTTGAGTATGTCCACAGATGAAGATGCTACAGCATCTCTGAGAAACCTATTCCAGCATTCAAAATTATTTTCTCAAAAATAGCCGTACTCAGCTTAATTATACTATTCCTTTGGACAAACTTATTTTCCAGCTGTTCACCCTTGCAAACGTAGCCTGCTCTCTGACTTCAGTGCTGCAACCATACCAAAGATCTGTAGAGCTCAGTGGGGTTGAAAGGAATTTAAAGGTCATGGGACCTCTTGAAAGCAAAGAAAATGTAACTGTGTCTTAGCCATAACTGTTCAGCAGTACCTACAAAAAACCCTAAAGAAAACAACAGTACTAATGTTATTTTTTCCAGTACAGTAAGCAGCTTAGGAGGGTAGATGTAGAGTAGGTTTCCTGAGTTTAAGGCAGTGTCACTGTCAGACCTAGCTGTGCTGTCTACGTTTCATGTGCTGCTCATCGTTGGGTACCGGCACGACTTACCTTTGAGGTCCGCCAATGTCATGCATTAGCCAAATGTGCACTTCAGAGACTTTATCTGGATTTAGATTAAAGACCTCAATACTTCCAAAGATGCTGTAAGGACGGGACATGAAACAGCAAAACATTCTCAGTTATCTGAGAAAGATGTACAGAGTATGCTCCCCAAATATTAGTGCTTATTAGTGTTGCTATTATTGTCATTGAAAGAAGATTATCCCACCAATGGATTTTCATAGACTATTTAATTGTCTTATGGTAAAATATTTTCTCCCCATTCTTATTTCACTCTCAGGAGAACTCTCGAAACTGTCTGCAGACAGAAACAAGCTGAGGTTTTGCCATCTTTAGTGCCTCTTCTCTTGTTCAGTTTCTTGGCTATTGATTTGGTTTGGTGCCAGGGACATGAACATGGCTGTTCCCCCAACCAGCATATCCTTCATCTTTCAATATTATTCAAGACTGCCCTTCCAGCCAGGTACCTCCAGGATGCACTGTCTGTGCCAGTAGTTTAGACCCATATGTGAGTTTTCCAAAATCCATTCTGCACTAGGACTCACTGGAAAAGGCACCCTCACGAGCATGCAGGCCCCACAGAAATATGGATGGTTGCATGGTGAGTGAATACCTGCTGCTTCTGAAAGCTCCAGCTTCTATTGATCCGTTGAGCATCACTTGAACCACACCACATGCTGCTTCTGCAAACTGAACAGAATCAATGGGCATTATACTCTGACACTACATCCAGTGCCACATCAGACTTGGGGCTGGTAGAAATTACTGTAACTTCGTTGATGTCATCAGAACTGTCTAATACAAGTAGAGGATCCAGCCAATACTGTTGCAGAAAAAAAAGCCTCCAAAGGCTACATCGAAACTGTGATAAAGCCTCATCAGCCAGCTATGAATTGACTGAGGTTGCATGGGACCAGTCAAAGAGTCAAAGGAGTACAGCAACTTTGCTGTCACTGCTGGTTTTAGTTTTTATGGGGCTTTCCAGAGCCCCAGCAGCTACAGCTGTCTGTAGTAACTCAGAATAATCCTCAGACTGCTTTAGCTCAGGCAGTGAGGATGACCCAGAACAGAGATACTACTAGTTTAAGAATGTACAACTCATCACATATTCATTTTCTTGTGACTCATGCTCTGTGTTCTTTTGTGGCTTGGGATTTTTCTCCCTAGATATTTTAGCAAAGCTCATCATAGAGTTTTGTTTGATTTGATTTTTAAATTACTGAGTTATATAATCACTGCTCTTTTATTCTTTAAAACTCATGGCCAAATATTTAAAGACTACTAAATTTTATAAAGTACCTACTCTAGATATATAATCTATTGGTAAAACAAACAATTTTAAAAAAGCTTAATGCAGGTAATTGTACTTATCAGACCTTACAAGTCCTCTTAAACATTGTGGCTCAGCCTCAGATCTTGAGAGCTCTGAATTTGCAGGGAAGTTCCATTATGTCTAACTTTCTAATGTAACGAGTTTTAGTAGATCTTAAATTTATTTGGGTTAGGAAGCCTGCAGTTGAGATACCTGACTCTGAATGGTGGTTTTATCCCTCCCAGGCTCTGGAACTGGGGAGAATTAATGAGAACATAGAAGTTGTTTTGGCATTGGAAAAATTATGCACACTAGTTTCCCCACAAAGCAATTAGTTATTTTACAGTGAGTAGACTTTTTTTTATGTACACGAGAGCTGAAGCATACAGGAATGCTTGTTTTCCACCTGGGCAGTCATCTACTAAATAGTCATACCAAGAGTGAAATCTTGAGAGACATGTAAAATTAAAGTGATACAGGACATCAGGCTTTTTTCTGGCTGTTTTTTCCTGTAAAGTGTTGATTCAACAGAGTTAAGCTAATTGCTTAACTGGGACCAGCAGGATCTCATTCATGTCACAGGAGCTGGCATGATCATATGGGTGGGGACATCACAGGAACCTTGCCAGATACGGATGTGGGAGGATGTGCTCTTCAGGTTTATGCCAGGAAGGTGCAAGGGGATTCTCAGCTGCTTTGAAAATTTCTGTGGCAATCTGGGCACTGCTCTCCACATTAACATGCTAAAATGTATTTCACTGTACAATTTCCATCCTGTGATTTAATTAAGGTGGTGATAGTTTTAATTACAAGCATTATTTGCAGAGCTTCAGCAGTCGATCAAGGGTTGCTCTAGACGCTGGCACTCAGCCTCCATCCACAAATAAGAATGCCCAAACTACAGTAACATTAAACATCATACATAAAATATGGAACCTTGGAAACACATATTTCCAACACCATGATTTTTAGCCCCCAGAGCTAAAGCTCTTGTGAACTTCTACAATTCCATTTTTAAAATCCAGTTTGCAAACTCACATTTTTTGGCAGTGTCAGGAACTTAATGACTTTCAAGACTCTTGGATTCATGAAGATTTATTCTAGATCTTACCATCTTGGATGCCATTTTCCAGAACACGGAGCTGGGGTTGCTCTCACATTCACTTCGTTTTGGACAAGATTCATAGTTGATTCCTGAGAAGAAGTATGTTTATAGAATAGCTAAGGTTGGAATGAATATTGTTGCAATGCTTATATGGCTTTGCCTGTTGATTAACAATGGCAAAAAGATTTGCCTACTACCAAGGAAAGAAGGCTACATGAGGAAAGGGGTCTTGGAGGAAAAGGAATTTTCGTGTGTTCAAAGGTCTTCCCATTTCACACTCACTTCAGGGAGGGACCTGCAGATCCTGTATGACAAATAATTCTCAGAAAACTGAGAAGGGAAAACATGTAGTCCCAAATGTGAGAAACAGGCTGGCTCTTTGACAAACACTGTCTGATTGCATTGAAAAATTAAACTTTGTCCAACATTTCCAGTAGTTCTATCCCAGTTCAAAGGTTGCCAGCCTTAAGCACCAACTGAGGATTCCTGCAGGCAGCAATACCCCAGGGAAACCGAATACTGCCCCAACACTTTGACTGGCCTATGACCAGGTCCTTCTGAATGACATTCCTGTTTTGCAATTTGTACCACAGAAGGCAAAGGGATGAATCAAGCAAACTAGGTAAAGAGGGCTAGATGTGAACTGTAATCCAAGCAGCAACTTGATGTTAAAATAACATCCAAAGTTGTGTTTTTTAAATTAACCTGAGAAATCAGTATTATTTTCAGTCTTCCATAACATGGGACAGAAATACAGTTAAGGTTTTAAACTAAATCACCAGCAAACAATGTGAAAAGGATTGTGTTTAGGTGTAGATACACAAAAGAAAATCTGTAATTCCAGTGTTTGTATTTGTTTTGCAAAAAATAGGACTTATTACCTGGGGTAGAGGGGTCTCCACACCATGAAATCTTATCAGCCATATAACCCAACAAGGTGTCCTCCAAGGTAAGGAAATTTTGATTGGATTTTGTATAACGATGAACAAGGTCATTTGTCTTGCTCCAAAACAGTGACTGTGAAATAAGGTACAATGTCCGATAAGTGATAGTTATACTAGACCTGATAAAAAAATTTTTCTGTAGAAAACCAAAAAGTTCATGATAATGAAGTAGTTTTAGTTTTTACTAAAATGCAACAAGTTATTTGTGCAGCCCACACTCTCATATCCAAAATATTTTTGGATGGGTTTTTTTTTGTGGAAATGGACATGTTCAGCTTGTGAAGCATTTTGAAAGAAAGGTTTTGATTAGTTCTCATAGGATATATACCCAATTTGTTATATGTTTTTGAGCTGCACATGGAAGAGCAGCTTCTTGGAAGCAGCATCCCTCTAACAGAATGATCACATGCTCCTTACAGAGAGCCATATGCTCAGGGAACAGGGACATCTCTGCCACTTCACCAGGATGACCCTTATGCAGGGATGATTCCCAGAGATAGAGTATGGACAGGGTTACTGGGGTCCAGAGGTGATAACTGCAGGGCTATTGCAGTAAGTGCAAAAGCAAAATATCATCCTTGTCAACCTACAGACCCTCACAGCCATTATGGATGTGATCCCATCACTCAGAGCACAACACAGACTTGCCATCCCACCACAACCCTACTTTTCCAGCCCACCATGCATTGTGATGTTACCTTGTTACAGGGTATATGATGACTTGCTAAATCCATTAGAGGCTGATAATCTTCTGCTGTGATATTACAGGGATTCTTGTAAATGAACGCATCTTTTAATGATTCCCATATTTTTAGGCAATCCTTATCTCTGCCGGAAGATTAAAACATAGTTAACCAATATTTATGAGTATTTGTGTCTGTGAAAGCTTCTCCTGTTATGGTCAAACACTATGGATGAGATATTAAAAGAATTCCAACTGTGCTCAGGCACCAAATACATTATCCATTACAAAAGCAGAGTATCTTTAGCAAATTAAGTATAAACTGAGGAATGAACAGTTCCAAAACATCTTTCTCTTTTTCCTGCATTTCAAACTATTGTTTATTGCAATATGTGAATGTCGTCTATGTTTTTATCCGTTAAAAAGAGCAATGCTTATATCACATAACCAAAAGACTGAATTTCTTGATTATTCATACCAAATCATGAGAAACAAATAGCTTCTCGGACTATAGCTTGTACATTTTAAAAGTATGGCCAAAAGATACTGTCCCTTCAGGTACAGCAAACCAGAAATATGCCACATGTCTCCCTGCAAAGAGTTTGACCTTACAGAAATAATATCTATAATTTTATCTGACACAAAAGCAGGTCTATCTGTTTTGAACCTGAGGTTATTTTTATTTATGCGCTAATTTTCAGCTACTGACTTTGCAGGAGCCAAAGCTGATTTTCACAGGTATATCCAAGAACCACATCAGGTGCTTGGTCTCCGTGGTTTTTTTCAGTCTCCTGCTGATCCTCCACTGTGTTACATGTTCTAGCCCTTTTGCTCTCACTGGCATTGAGTCAGAGGAATTCCACTGAGTTTACATGAGGGATCTCCTTCATGCCTCACGCGACTGTCACCTCAGCCTGCACTTGTTTCTTCAGGTGCTGCTTTGTCAGCCTAGGAAATAAAGCACCTCTCCGCTCACAGAAGCAGGGCTCCTCTGGTACTACCAAGAGGAAATCTCTTGCACAGCATGGGCAAGCAATCATATCTCTGTGCTGAAGCAGTGCCATGGGGACTGCAGCATAAATAACACTTTGGATGGCTCGGGACATTTACTTTCTTGTTCTTGAGGTAATGAATGAAAACTCTGCACTTTCATAATTCATAATTATTGACTGTCTAGTATGTGTTCTCAGGGCTGTCCCCCATGGGTGCACTTCCCTTCCTCTTCATGTTCCCAGAGTCTCAATGGCACATGGAGAACCTGCCCCTCACATTACAGCAGTGACAATAAGGTAGTGATTCTGCAACCCTCTCTTCCCCATTTTTATGTAAATTTAAAAGGTTGACTGCATCATTCTAGTGTCTGCATGTCTCTGTAGAGCTCTTTTGACTATCTTCGAGTCATCCACTCTTTCTTCACTGCTTGCAATCACTTCCCAGTGTGTTCCCACTAAAAGCCATTTGAAGAACGGACTCTGTCTTGTGTGGATAAACTGATGCCTTCAGAGCACTATAAAAATAGCACTGATCGATTAGGACTTGACAGACACACAGCTGCAGGTTTTCTTACCAGTTGGTACTCAGGTAACACGTAGGATGTGGAATCTGATTAGTCTTAAAAATAGTCCTAGAGGAATTAAGAAAAACAGCAGTAACTCATTGAAGATTTCCTAACATTTCCAAGTTAATCAGTTGTGTGATCTCATTCCTGCTGCTGAACTTGATCATGATTTTGACTGAGTGCCTACTCGAGGATCAGAGGGGAAACTGGAATGCAGAGTTGAGCTTCTTGTATTACATGGGTCGCGCCCAGACTTTGGGACTCAGAACCACTTCCTCATTGGCTGGACATAAACTGTCTCCTTCCCTTCCTATGTTTATGGAAAACAAGCATCACACAAAGAGGAGGCGCAAACAGACTCTTGTCTGTTTGTGCCCAGAAGAAAGTGAGAGCACCTAACAGCACCACATACCAGAGGGGATTGCCTCTGTCAGACCCGCTAAAGGGGCTTGGGGCAGTATCATGCCAGGAAGGACCTGGCAATCCACAGCAAGATGTTCCAGGCTTTTCCTCCCTTCTACCTTAATTTAGGCAGTAAAAAAATCTAATTTAGTGTTATATATGTTGGCTATTGGAAGGTCATCCCACCAAGGTGGCTACAGAGCAAGTTCCCATGCTCCAGCTTCTTCCAGTCCTCCTCCGGAAGGTCAGTGGTGGATACGCTCCCATGTCTCACTCTTGGGGCAGTCAAGTGCAGTACACTGCAGAGCTCTACCTGGGCTTAATTCATCACTGAACTTGATGAATTAAAATGATCTTGTGTACTGCCACTGTGGAACACAGACAGAGCCTGGGGGCAGGGACACGGCACATCAGCCTGAAGCTTGGAGCCAAAGGCTACTGGAGGCAGCTCTGGTGCATCCCAAATTTCCTTTCATGTCATGCCAATCTGTTACAGGGGCAGCCCCTGCTGCATTAGGGGCCACACCACTTGTTTATATGAACCAAATTTACTTCCAGATAAGTAAAGATGAATAACAATGATGATTTTTTACAGGACTATTGTCTTTTATCAAAGAGCCTAAATGCATTTTCAGTTACAGTCACTGTAGAAATAAGAAGCCAAACTGCAGGTGCTGTAGGGAGCAGAGTCATTGCTTTGCTGTTGCACTGTGGTGTCAGTGAGAATTCACATGTTTTACTTAGCAAGATTTAACTTGGGTGTATTAAATTTTCTCCCGGAGGAACCTTTCTCTGGCTGCAGAGTGCAAATAACTGATAGAGACAATACTCCAAACTTTGGTGCTTTATTTAGGGGCTAGGAAGTCGTAAATACCTCTCCCTGCCAAAAGGGATTACAACACGGCCACACTGAATCAGCCAAAAGTGAAGGCTCCTGCTGATCAAGGGGTGACATTAGAGAAGAGGCAGCTCTGCCCTTTGCTCTGCACACTCAATGGTATCATAAAGATAATTTGTAGGGCTTGGCTGTAAGCACAGGTACATCTCACATACACTTGTATGGCTCGCACTTTCTAATCTGTCAAATGATTTGTCCTCCTGGCAGAATTCTTTTTTACTTTTTTTTAAAGATACTCCTGAAACCTGTTATATGTAACAGTGTTAACAGCCACAGGTGACAGCTGGGTACCTATTGATCTATACTTTCATATGGCAAAGTTTCAAAGATTTTTTTAAGATTGGTCTCAGAAGACAAAATATTTTTCAAGGAACCATAAAAAACCCTGTTTATTTCCAAGCAGAGAGGTAAGTGATAGACACAGTACAAAGCATTTCTGCTGCTGGACTCAAGTCATGACCATGAGAGGCATGAAGTAACAACCATTCAGGTGATTCATGATCCTGCTGAGATAGATTGCTGAGTCACAAATCCAAAGCATCAGTTTTCTAGCCTGTCAAGATGCCAAACTCAGCACTGGATGATTTGTGTCGATGTCACTAATATCTGAGAGAAGAGTCTTTATCCACAGTTCTGGTAGAGCTGAGCCAAACTGTATGTTTAATGTCAAAGAAGTTGGTAGGGCTTAGACTTCAAATGGAGGAAGCTCTTCTACAGGTGATAATCAACAGGTACTGTTAATTGTACCCCACAGAAGAATGATAAGGCATGAAGATGGATTTTATGGAAACTAGGCAATTTCAGCTTTGGTTTAGAAATCAAAATACAGATCTTCAATGTAAAAAAATACATACAGAAGTTAAACAGCCATTTATTTTTGCTGTCCTTATCTATAAACATACAATATTATCAACATGTATATTTTTACATCTGAATAAAAATAATTCATTGATTTGCCATTGGAAAGCTGTATCTCTGATAGGAAGCACAAGTTTTACCTCACATCCCGAAGAGATTACCAGTTATACAGAACTGTGATTTTAGTTTATGTATGAGAAAAAATAAGCACTGAAAAGACTTTAGGACTTGCTAACCCTAGCTCCAGGAAGATATTTCATTCTTTCCAATCTCACTGTTGAGGCAGACTCTGTTAATAAAGTTTCACCTGACACTTTTTTCATCACAGAAAGAAAATATTTGTCTTGTGTGCAGCATTTAACTTACACTGAGCAGAGGTAAAGGCAGAGACCTGTTATAACTCTGGGCCTCCTGCAAACAATATGAGAAGTTTTCTGGCATGTGGTATGCTAAAAATTCCGGCAAGAACAGCTTCAGGTTGAAACAAGCACATCTGCCTTGCCAAAAAAATGCTTGAGAAACAAACTGTCCTCTTAAGGCTGCTACCAACTTCTAAGTCACGAAATGTGTTGATTTCGTTTTCTTTCTACATTTACAAAAGAAAGGATGCAAAAGAGATCCTCAGTCTACCAGTTAATAAAATTTATCTAATTCAAATAATTCGGAGCCCATGGTGATCACTCTTATATCTCACACTGCTGTGCAGCTCAAGTGTTCTCTTCCTCTGGTTTTTATGTATTTTGGGTTGTATACTCACTAGTTCTGCATCCTATCTGCAAATATCATCTCTTTATGCATAATGGATTTCTTCCTTTGAAGCTAACTTCATTTATGCTGAAATATTTAAGGCCTTTTATTCTACTATAGACTCTGAAATATTTAATCCAAATTCACTGACAAATAACATAAATATACTCTATATTTGTGTTTAATTTTTTCAATTTTTTTTTAATTAATAGAGTTTGGGAAATGTGAAATAATAACAGACTTAGATTTAACATTGTGAAATCTGCTGTAAACTTGAAACCTGTAACTCTTTCTTCAGTATAGCATTGAATAAGGGCTGGGATACAAATAACCATTAAAATTACATTTCCCTATTAAATCCAAATGTTATACATACTGCAAAGCATATCCTCCATTTGTCCTTACATTTGGGTAGAAGCTGCATTTTCCAATAAATTTGAGTATTTCTATCCATTTGCTTTGTATATGAATATCATATTAATCTATCAAATGAAAGCTGGGACCAAGAATACTTCCATTAGCATCTATCCCAGCAGCCAAATTTTAATGCGCATATTAGAAAAATGGACAGCTTCTGCATCATTATTTCTTGCATATATTTCTTCTATACACTAGTCTGGCTAACCTTGAAAGAGCACCCTTACACTGAAAGGAATAAGATGCCATTGAGCTACCTGGTAAAT